GCCTTAGTAGCAAGAAATTAATTTGTCTTCACCCTGAATCTCAATCCTGATCACTGACTACAGGCCTGCTAGTTATAAAGACAAACTTGGACTGCACGCTCAAAGAAGTGATTACAACTAGGGCTAAGCAAAAGACTTCCTCCATGCTCTCTTGAAACAGAAAAAATCCCATACTTCATCATTTTCAAATCTGCACCTAGACACGTCATGCCCAGAAAGCCTACTTATATCAGGTCTTTAGGCACCAGTGGGATACTCAGACTCTTCCTTTCTGGTCCAAAAATCCATCTCCAAGTCAAAGTGATAACCAATTGCAGACTTGTCAGCTCAGCAGAGAGTATCTGCCCAATAGAAGTGGGTGTCTGCCCAACAGCAAAAGTCACATGTGTCATGTGAAAAGTCATGGTTTATTCCTAAAACACCCCAAGCTAGTGTTGCAGCAGTGATCCTTTCTGATTCCACACACCTCTTCCTAAGTCTTGTGGACAAACAGTTTCACTGTAACATACCATGTACAGCTTATAACAGTGTTTTTCTGCTTTCCACTTCTAGGTTAACAGGCTTTTATTTGAATTTGATAGTTCTAGTTTGCTTGATAGCCCTGGGTGCAGCTGGGATTGTTAGCAGCTTTCTGGATGAATACCTGGACTTCAGCATTATGAAGAAAGTCCGTAAATTGTTCTGAAGACTGACTGTCTTTTTAAGAAATAAATAAATAAATAACATGGATGCCTTCTCTGGACACCAAAAAGATGATAAGCTGCATGTGAATAAAGCATCAGAGCTCTTTACTAACAGCCTGTTGCAATGTAAAATGCATGTTTTTCCTGAGCTGTTTACACTTTCTCCTTTCCCTACACTCTTGAAAAAGTCAGTAAGACAGAATGTCATGTCACATCTACATTTGCAATTAAATGTTCTCTTTCCCTGGTATGGTATTGCAATCTCTAAACAAATTACATAAAACTAAACCCATTAATTCCCTAAGTAATTTAGTTGCAAGTGACACTACAAGCATCTTACCCAATGTCCTTCAGCTTTGCCAGAGCCTCTGTAGTCTCCCTCCACTCCTCTTCATTTCCCCCAGCAGTGCCAAATGTAGAAACATGATTCCATGCAATACGTTGCTGGGAGGTCCCTGTTTCCCAAGTAAATCCAATCCCACTGCTGTATAAGCATATATGGAAACACTGCTTTCTCAGGAAAACACTTAAAGCTGCTCTGGGCCCTGTGTTTCTGAGGAGGACTTTTGATTTTATACACATGTTTACAGTTCAACACATGCTCAAACACTCTTCTTGTAGAAGTGAGGCCTTCCCAGTCCTCACAGAAAGCCTCCTGAAGAAGACAGGCTGTAGCCACGTCACACTTCTGAAGGGGAGAGCTAGCCCAGACAAACAGAAGGCACAGGAGCTTTGTAATGGTGTACTGAGGTTGATAACCTAACCACAAAATAATTGAGAGGTGGATCAGGTCCACAGTAACCTTTCATATGAAAAAGATGGACACATACACACACATCAGAGGGGGGGTTTGGAATGAGATGGTCTTTAAGGTCCCTTCCAGCCCAAACCATTCTGTGATTCTACGAAGTTATCTCATGATAAAAAGGCACAACTTAATGCCTGCAGGTAGCAAAGGCTGAAATGGCATTTGAAACATTAAAATTAAACAAGTACAAAGGTGCGAGGCTTGGGTCCAACAATGGCTGCCAAGGGAAAAAGGACAGATGGTGATGGTGATCATGACGGTGAACAGGCTGGAGCTGACACAGCTACAGAAAGGGCAGCTCTCCATCACTTAACTCCAGGGAGAAAGTACAACAGGGCCAGATTTAACTACCACATAAATCACCAGGAATTCTTCCGTTAACTTTTCTTTTATGGGCTGAAATATGGAAAATCCACCTACCCACCTGCTGGTGATGCCTTCAGTCAGTCACAGGCTGCAAGAAGTGCTGCCTCCTGAACCAAAACAAAAACAAAGGTCCAAACCATGTAACAGACTTGAAATACAGATTAGAGGAGACCAGAGGTCATTAACTGTGTTTTAATAGGTCTTTCTTTGCTTCTGAAATTACACCATTTCAAGCTTACCTGTTGTAGTTCTTTAGTGTGTTTATAGATAGCTTCCCTCTCCTCCCCTCCACTTTCACAGAAAGAGAGAAACTGCTTTCGCACACAGGGACAATTTCATATGTCAAAAAAGACAGGTGTGAGGCTGCAAAGCATTATCTGGAAACACAGAGCCAGAGTGCAAGGGGATAAACATGAACCTAACATTTTAGGAGCTCCACCAGCTAATGAGAGGGCAGAAGTAGGCCTGGAGTTGAGGATGCCACCTGTTTTCTGAGCCACAGCTTTGTCCCCAGTAAGCCAGGGCAGAATGTCCATGATGGAAAAGTGTTAAAGACTGACTCATCTATAATTAAAATCAAAACACACCTCTAACAGATGGATGCTGGCAATATCAGTCTTTGGTATGAATGTAGTGAGAAGGAGCACACCACTTCCTGCCTGCTGGTGGAGGAGTCAGTACCAGGGTGCACATTCAGCACGCACTGTGAGTTGATGCAAATGTTCCTGTTGTAAATGTTCACTTGTTGGTCACTAACAGAAATGATGATGGTCCCCACTGCAGCCTCAAAGCCAGTCGGCACCCAGCTGAAAGCATCGGCCTCTTGCTGAAAGCATCTCTTCTCAGCAAGTACATGCTTGAGGGGTACACTCCAGCAAGCTGCTCTCCTTCTTTGGCCAGTCTCCTTCTTTGTTCTTCCTTATCCATATCTAGAATGATAAATGTCTTGGAGTGGCATTAAGGAGAGAAGGGGAACTTCACCTTTAAGGCTGTATGTGGAGTCAAGCCACACTGGCATCCTGAAGGTCCAATGTCCGAACCCTCATGACTCCCCCATAGGCTGGAAACACGCACAAAGTGGTGTCAAGCCTTGAAGTCTACATGGCATGCTTACCTTGAACATACACATTCAACAAGTCCACATCTATGTTCCAAAAGGCTTCTGACAACACCATTCTCATCCTGTCATAGCAGTAGGTGACAGGGAACTACTCTGTCTTCATGCTTCCCCAGTTTCCCTACCTCTTTTCTCCAACTTCTGCATCCAACCCCACATCTCCCTTCTTCCACCCCATCTTACCTCCTCACATTTCAGCCACAGGAATCCCAAATCCTAGGGTCTCCATCTTGTCTCCTCCAGTGAAAGCACTTCCCTACTCCCCACTTTTGCTCCTTACACACAAAACCCACAAAAGTTTGGAGCTGCCACATTTAATGGGTCCAATTACAGACCAACTGCCCCACAGCATCTGCCTGAGCACAGGCCTCACCTCAGAGCACAGGAAGTTTTGGTACCTCACCTTGCTTGAGAAAGGGGCACCATGGCCCCAAAGCACAGCAGAAGTGGTGAAGCACTCCCTGGCCAGCAGCTCATTACAGTAGTCTGTGGTTCAGCTGCCACAGGAATAGGGACAGCTGTTGGGGGCTGCCTGGCAGGGCTGCCTGGGATTCAGGGATTCACACATGCCTGCCTGCATCCAGCTTCCCTCCCCTCCTTGGAAGATCACTCATCAAGGCGCAGAAGTGGGGCAAGAGATGATCCATATACACCAGGTATATGAGTCAGATAACCATCTTTTATTTGGGTTTCTTTTTTTGTTTGTTTGGTGTTTTTTTTTTGTTTTGTTTCTTTTTCTTTAAAAGTGGTGTTAACATCAGGTCTTTCTCTACATTTTCAGAGCTCTGTACAGGTCTTAAAAGGAAATAAGCAATGCTTAATGTACAAAGTAAAACCAGAAAGCTAGAAAAATCTGAATAAAATGGAGCAAGTTGCTGTCAGGGATACAGTACAAATTAGTAATTAGACGTCATCTGAAGTGCAATACCACTGCAGTAAGGATGAGTTAAGGAATGAAATAAAAATACTCTATTTTAAACAAACAGTATATATATATATATTTATATGTATATATTTTACAGATAGTAGACCCAGTGATATCTGTAGAATTGTAAAAACATATTTACAAATAACTTTTTTTTTTTAACATTACATATACATCAGCACCATAGGAAGAAAGAAGAAAAAAAACAACCCCAAATCGAATAAAATCTACTTTCTAGCACTTGATCCCAGTATGGAGTAACTGGAGGAAGCTTTACAAAGACAACAGAGACTTGCCTTCATCACCATTTATTCACCAAAGTCTGACTCTCTCTGATGCACAGGGACTTGCATTTTGCTGCCACATGGTGGTTGTGTGTTTCTAAATCCTCCTTTCCCAGCTCTGGCACCCAAGGAAGGGATGCTGTGCCACCCCCAGCGTTGCCCCCCATCCAGCAGGCTGGAGATGGCTCCCCACCCTGTCACAACTCCATCACACAGCGCTGGACAGATGTGTGCCTGACACACACAGAGACACAGCACCTTGGTTACTGTTTCTCTCAATGTTTGCCTCTCCCATTCTGACCAAGAGGTGTTTACACTCAAGACCGACCAAAAACTTTGGCTGGTGCTCCCTTACATTGACTTAGGGGCCAACCTGGCTCCTTGTTGAAGCAGAGACAGGCAAACCTTGACAGTCTTCAACAGGAACTGGAATTGGTCCTTGTGTTTTAAAAAGGGGTTAGCTAAAAGAAATGCATCTAAAGCTGTTTTAAAAAAAAATTATCAGCCGGGGCAAGCTGGATTGACAGCTCACCTTGAGTACATTAAAAATGCAGCTTGTCCTGCTGATATCATAGCATTTAAAACAGGTAATTCCTTTCCTCTAGGAAAGCCCTGCAAGGTGATACTGTGCAAAAGGGAACCCAATGGGGCGCTGAGATGGTTCCAGGCCCATTTGCTCCCACTCTTTAATGTGATGCATATCTGTGCTCCACAGGGAAAGGCAGGATGTGAAACTGCAAAGTGCCAAGGCCCTCAGCCTCCGTGGATTTCAGTGGCTCAGCACTTCACACCGCTGGGCCCAAGGAGAGCAGCACACAAGGAGGTAATTGGTAGTTGTACACTTTTGCTGCAGAGCACAGCTGATGGCTAACAGAGGCCAGCACTACGTCAGAGGGTGCCAAAAGTTCTGGACTCTGGATCACGTTAACATTTTTTATGCACTGCTATATAACCTGATAAGCAGCTCTCAGCTGAAAACACTAAAAAGATTCGAGGTTTGGGAGAACACCTTTCCTCAGCCACTGACTGCAGCTTGGGAACTGCTGCTTTACACACATTCAGAATGGCTGGTGACTTGATATTGTGTGAGATATATCACAATTTCATTACATTGTTGGTCAGTACTGGTCCACACAGTGGAGATAGTGATACATTGCTATCACATAAAACCTTAGTTGGGCAGAGCCCATGTTTGTAATATCAATTATTTTACCCATTCTTTACAGTAGTCCTTCACTGGCTCCTGTTCTTCAAAAGCTGCATTGAATTTTATTCCAGCAAACCAGAGAGATTAGACCAAACATCAGTTTAAAACTGAACACAACCCATTAAGAGACCAGACACCCCGGGGTAATACTACCTGCTAAACTTGCACTTTTCAAGTGAGGAAGAGAAAATCCTTCTGTGTGCCAGACTCTCACTGTATGTTTTCTCATGCCTGTTTTCTCATCCCCTGCCTGCTCCTTTGTGGCTCACCTGAAAAAAATTGCAGCCAGCTCACCTTGCTTTACATTTAAGGACAGGAGGGGAGGGAAATGAACTGAGAACATACTGTGAAGGAAGGAGATGGAGGGACCTGCTCAGGACCTATGCTGGTGTCTCTTGGTACCTCTCAGCCCTTTAACACCCCCAGGCAGCAGGTATATGCCAAAGTGCTCTGTCAGGGAAGCACTATTGCAAGTCCCAAGGGGACTAAGCAGCTCATTAAGTCAACCCACCCACCTAAGCTGTCTCCAGCAGCAGTCCCATAATCAAACTGTCCTCACAACACTGACAAATTTAATGTTCTCCTGTACTTGTACTGATGTTTTATCTCTCTGCAGTGAAAATGGTGATCTCCCTGTGATTTGTTTGGGTTTATCACGTGAGTGCTGCACGTTCCCTTATGACAGCCCAGATCCCATGGCTCACCGAGACCTGCCTACCCCAGGGTTAAGCCCATTTCTGACCAGGGCTTGTGCAATTGCCCATGGACATCTGTGGGCTTTGCTCCAGGCTTTTCATCTGCTCCCCTGAAAGCTGCAGTGTTCACAGTTATATGAGGTGGGAGACATTAGGAGCACCCCATACCACTATGCAATGAAACCTCATTTGAAGAGGGGAAAGAACAAATTTTCCCAACCAGAGGCATCAGCTGGCCTTTCCAGTTTCCCCACTCTGCCTCATAAAGACACAGAGTGGGCACTGCCATACAGCAAAGGTTGCCTGGTAGAATGCCTTGAGATGCCAATGTTGTCATCGTCCCCTGAATCTTCCAAGGTTGGCTACAGATCAGCTCAGTTTGCATGATTAAAAACAACAGAAAACAAAACAACCTCAAACCAAAACAATTCAAACAAAAAAACAAAACCAACCATCCAGGGATGGGGAGAACATCCAACTCTCTCTTTTTCAAATGTAACAACCAAAGCTCCAGACTGTACAAGCCCATTCACTGGGGGTTTCCAAACAACTCATCAAGTTCTTGTATCCACTCATCCCCTGGTCCGCTCTTAATGATGGAGTCCACGAGGTCTGCGCCCTCTGCTAAACTGGAGAATGACCCCCCTGCTCCTTCATTGCTGTAGTTGTAAGGTATGTCCTGAGTGGGATTCCTCTCGTATGCTTGGCCTTGGCTGCTCTGAGCGAAGTTACCACCTGGCATTTGCTGCGTCGGGGGCTGGCTGAAGCCTGACATGGTGGGGACCCCTTGGCTGATTGCTGACATCACCATGGGCCTGGCCTGGCTGGCTGCCTGTTGCCCAGGTAGTGGTTGCAGCAACTGTCTTCCCAGAGCGGGGTTCAGGGCTCTTACTGTTCCACTTGTGTCCACAACTGTCTGATTAAGCCCCTGCGGGAAGTGCTGCTTGGACAGCCGTGGCTGCCCAGACTGCATCGCGTACGTGGTGCCGTTATTGAAGGGCCCCATTTCACCGCTAGTCCTTCCAGGGATGCCTTGCAAGCCTCGCTGTTGCCAGTTTTGTGTTCCTTGAGGGACAGTCCCCATCAGGTTCTGAAGTCGTGGTGCTTGTGGCCTTGGTAAGACCTGGCCCACAGGTCCTTTCATCTGCTGCTGATGCTGGGGAAGAGCGGAGTTTACCAGCATGTTCTGACCAAAACTGCCAACCATTCCCACTGCTTGTCCAGAGGCAGGCTGCCTTGTCCCCTGGCCTGCATTATGTGCCATGTTTATGCTGCTTTGGTTTGGGTGCTGCAACATTTGGCTCATCCCTGTGCTCATACTGTACATTCCCGGCTGGCTGGAGGAGGTGTTGCTGTAAGGAGCCATGCCCACATCCGACTGGCCCGCAGTCGTGGGCAGCGTGCTCGGGTTCTGGGAGGGACCCATTGCCATCATGCTCGCGTTCTGGGCCATCATTCGGGATGTCCTCATGTTCTGGAGTGCTGCTTGGTTTCTCACAGCTGCTATATCCTGGGGTGAACCTACGCCAAAAAGGGAGGAAGGTAAGAAAAAAGCCACAACCCCGTAAACCTTAATTAACACAAGAGAGAATCTGTAGGAGCCTTTTGCAATGCAGTAGGATTTCAGATTGCTGTGCTTTCCAAGTGAATAAAACAACCTTTCATGTGAAGGTTAGCAGAGAGCCAGAAGGTTACCCATCCTTGGGAGATGTGCTTGCTGCCTAATGTTTACTGCCTTTCAGAGGCTACATGTTCCCCACCTCACCTTGGCTGCAGCCTCTGTCCTGACCTGCCAAATTCCCTCTCCTGGAAGGTGAGAGCCAACACAGCTCCAGTGTTGTTCAGCAGAGAATTCCATTCCAACCTAATTTCCCTTCAGGCCTAACAGGAGGATGGAAAAGTTAAAAGGCCAATGATTTACTCACTAAGTAATTCTCAATTAGGACAATTTTGGGATGTGTACCCAAAGGGATTAATGACTTCAGATTCTTGAAGAATCAAGGCAACACAACTGGATGTTTAATACATGATTACAGCCAGGGTTGCCTCCCTGGTAATAACCTAATCAAGTATCTAAGCTTGATAGTCACAGGAGCCACAGGGCTAAAATGGGCTTTTCTCTTACTTTGTTAGGACCAGGGATTAAATTTTTAAAAAGTGACTTGGGAGTCAAAGTCCCTTGTAAAGAGTAAATGTGAGCCTTTCTTTTTTGTGTGTACTTTTTCTCCCCAGGATCCAATACAATGTGCACCCTGCTCTGTGAAAGAAAAAAACCAAACCTCTAAGACTTTAAAGTTGCATATGCCCTATGATTCAGTAGCACTTATCCTCTTCAGCTACACCCAGTTCAGCTTCTAGGAAGCAAATGGGAAAGACTTCATGGTCTTCTTCAGTGGCAGCAAAGCAACCGAACTTCAGTTTACCATTTAAAGCTCTCTTTTAAATATCTCCATTGTCTCTCAAAAGTAAGCCTTGAAAATGGAAATGTCAGGCTCAGAAGGCCAATCAATTTTTTAATAGCTCAGGAGGCATAAATGAATGGATTTTCTATAGCATTGCTACTGATTAAGTCTATGGAAAGAAGAAAAATTGGGGTTTTGTGGACATTTAAAGCAGAGAGAGTGTATTAGGGAATCAATACTATAAGCACATTTTACTTCACCTTAGGCCAGTGATGGGAAACCAGAAAATCCTAACCTTGTTAAATTCCACACCGTGGCAGATAACTGAACCATGTTTGCATCTCCCTTTCAAGGGTAGGGGGGAGCTATTGATTTCTGGGAAGCCAATACGCTTCTGTATTTACTATCTTTATTTAAAAACAATTACCTGGAGCTTGGATTATGCCATGTAGGTTTGAGTCACTATCATACTGAACTAAATACAATACTCTGCAGGTGAAGCTCAGAGTAGATGAGGCACACAATTGTTCCCAGCTCAAATGTTATTGAATGCAAGGCATAAACATAAAATGGTTGCTTTAAAAGTTCAGAACTGTACAACAGAATGTGAATGTTCTTAAATCAGCCCCTATTTGTTGTCCCTCAGTGGCAGACAACATATCTGAACATCCATGGAGAGTGGAGAATACTGGTCCCTGTTATTTATGTTGGCTTGGTTTCCATGAGAAATGGGTCTGGATAAAGGAAGTGCCATTTCTATAGTTTAGCACATAATGCAGAGGATACCTCTCCCTTTTACTGCAGCATGATAAGCTTCTGAAGGATGCTTTTAGCTCCAGCATATAGATAAATGAAACATTTTGTAGCATGAAGAGAGACCATCTGGATCACACTTGAACAGGGCACAAGTAGCAGCAGCTTTTACTTTAGCCTTGCTATCAAACCACTTTCTTAATGATTGGCACCAGGGTCCCCTTGATTTTTCTTAATTTAGATCATCTCCTTTGATGATTAGAAACAGTCTCTTTTTAAGATGACTCCAACAAGTGCTGAAGATACAGATCATGTTGAAATCTTAATGCATCTTTAGCTAGTTTTTAATTGAAAATGGCAGTTGAAAAGCTCCAGAGGAGACACTAACAGCAAGTGGGTTCACATACTACTTTTGTTAACTACTGTGCTTGGTGTAAGAGACAGGAGATCAGACAAGGACTAGTTAAAAGAGAGATGCAACAGATTTTAAGATTTTGGGCCACCTTCCGGCCTCATTTACACATAACCTACTGCACTGGATTACATTCGTGTGACTGAATAGGAAAAAATGGTGAACTACTTATATTAGCTCATTTATGAAAATTAATTCCTTGCTCTGTCAGATTAGCCTAAACTCCCTTCTCTGTTTCTTTTAAATAATACATATGAAGGAAAGGTTTCAAAGAAGTATTAATGCAGAAAGATTGTACATGTGCATCTCAGTGTGTGGCAGTGCACACATGCTTTCTGATTTTGCAAATGAATTATTGGGGGATAAAAATCATTTCAGACAGAACTTATACTGCCAAAGATAAAAATGAGAAGGCAATTAGAAGAAGCCACCCTGATATATATCAGCAGAAGGTGTGGCTGCCTGTTCATGTCCTGGGAACCAGAACTGTTGCAGTTACATGACACTATCATGAATATATAATGCAAGTGTGTGTTCATTTCATGTCTATTGAGAACCTATGGTTAGTGAAGAATTCAGATTATGCTTTGCACCTAAAATCTCAGAATTAACTTCTTTTCCTAAGCCAAAATTATTGTACTTACATCCTTCAGTTACCTGGGAGCACATAAAAATAGGCCTTGCTTTTTTTGAGATAATTAAAAAAAATATCTCTATTTCCATCTCAGGTATTTCACTGTTTCCCACACCTGACATTGATGAGTCACTTCTCCAGATAAGGATGCCCTCTCTGAAATTCTCAGCTCTTCAAATTAGATAAAGTGGGGAATTAAGAGGGGTAAGACCAAGATACAGTGAGAAATGCTAGCTGAAAAAAAAAAAGCATCATAAGAGTGGAGGCAAACAAGACAAATCCATTAATGAATCCATGATATCCAGATGTCAAAGAGGCATAAAAAAAATGCAGCTTTCACTGAAGGGAGCCAAAAGGAAATTATAAACCTAACTGAAGACACAAACCTGGGCATTCCCCTTTGGTAAAATATGTGGTGTGTGCAACAGTCTGTTTTCCTCTTCTGGCACACTGCTTAAACCCTGGTCTTCAAAAAATGCATGAGGTTTCACGCCCCTAGTATAGGGGCATATATTGACTCCAAATTAGGAAAAATAATTCGACTTTTACCTTGGAACTGGTTGACCTGTTGCACTGGATACGGGCTTCGCTGTTGCTGCAGATGCTGCCGAGGCAAATGTGACTGCTGCTGCAACTGCTGAAAACGAAGCAGGGAAAGAAAGCAGAAAAGAAAGAGATGATTAATTAATTAGTGAGCTGAGAACTGGACTGGTGTCAAAAGTACTGCAGCAGAACTGCAGCAGTTCTTATCTGGTGAGCTGTTCTGGAGAGACAAGTAGAGTCATCTGAAGAGTCCTTCTGAGAGCACTTGGGCTACTCGGCACGTGGACTCTTTTTGGTTCGAAAAGGAACAAGCACTGAGCTGACAACATCTCTCTTTACTTATAGCCACTTCATCCTGACCTCTACAGCATGAACTTCACTGTTGTCAGGCAGAAAGGAGAGGGAGGGATATGGACTAACTTTGCTCACCGAGATCTAAGGGCAGCTGTAGCCACACACACTTTCCTTCCCTCATTCCTGCTAAGGTCTAGAAGTTTGTGTTCCTGGTACAAGACTTTTCCTCACCTCTGCACTCAAAACAGTCAGCTGCGAGGAGTACTGCATCCTGACCTAAGCACTGCAGCCTAGGACCATTCCTGAGCCAAAACAGAAACGGCTACAAAAGCACATTTCCTCTTGTGCTTCAGTGAATGATATCTGGGGAGCGGCTGACTGCAAAATGCATCTCTCCCTTGATCCAGACCACACTGCTCCTCTGTGGTTGTTTTCTGTGAATACTCATGAATACTGTAAAACAGAATCAAGGGTGATTATAAAAGCAGAGAGAGTTTACCAGAGCTTTCAGATGCTAGGGTATGCTCAACTAAGCATTTATCAAAAGGACATGTATTGCAGCATCATCTGCAGCTGTACAAACACTGTGTCCAAAACCAAGGATGTGTAACAAAGGTAAGAGAATGGCAAAGGTGGGAAAGAAGGAAGTACTAATCCCTGCATTCATAAGCATGTGTTACAGATCCTAAGCCATGTTTTCCCAGCAAGAGAGGATAAGCCAAGCTTCAAGCGACTGCTGACCTATCAGAATATTATCTAGGTAACATTAGGGGACTGCAACTTCAGTTTTGGGTATGATCTTATAGGAACTCAACAGTGTGACTTTCCACTGACTTTCTCCTAGGCTGCTTTAAACTACAGCTGAATTAAGCATGCATCACCATTCTGACTGGGTAATTTAACTTCCATATTGCAAAGCTCAAGACCAGGTCTTCCATATTGCCACTGTGAGAGGTGGTTTTATTGCTCTCCCACTCCAGTCTCTGGCTCTCCCCTTGCTGCTATCTCTCCTTTGTGCTAACCTAACTGCTTGTACTGGCATGCAATAAACCAGATTAAGGAACTGATCTGGGTAAATACTTTTTATTTTAAAATTAACTAAGGTTACTTTTAACCCACATCCATTCTTTGTCCCACATCAATGCAGCTGTACATAGGTTTTGCCAGTGCAAGACCACACTCAGAGCTAGGGGAGAGGACCTATGCCTGTAACTGTAGCTGAGTCTGCTTCTGCTGGAGTATACTGACCATGAGATGCCAAGTTAGGAGCTAACTTTCCCCACTGCCTAAAATCCCACGCGACTGCCAAATCCACCACTGGGAACACAGGTAATATTTGCCAAACTAATGGTAGGACTGAGACAGATGCCTCTTCTTTGACAACCATTGCTGAAATACCACGATAGGAGCCACAGAGAGAGAATTACTAAAGAAAGGAATTACTGGTGTTGTCTGTAGCACTCACGCTCTCATACCAGTGAGCACTGCAGTGTTTGAGACAGATGGATACTGTACCTGCTCCGCTAGGATCTGCTGCTGCTGCCTTTGCTCTCGGAGAAACTGCTGTTTCTGCTGCTCTATTACGTGGAGCTGGGCTCTCTGCTCTATCAGCATCTGCTTCATGATGGCTGCCTGAGGCTGGTTCCCTAGGAAGGGACCCCCAGAGCTCGCACCCGTGACCACATTGCTGGAGCCTGGTGGCACAGAAGGCTGCATCGGCCCTGTGGTCCGCGACAATCCCACTTGGTGCTCCTGTGCAAAGAGAGAGAGAAGGCCTCGTTACTCGGGGTTCTCCAGAGGCAAGAGAAGTGACAGCTCTTTAAACTGAAGAAGCACCGAGTCTGTGGATGAAGTATGGAGCTTGGAGAAAGTGGAAAGATGCATATGGCTTGTGACCATGGGTTGTTCCCCACAGGGAACTGGTTCCTCTTTTCTCTTGGAGTTTAAAGCCCCTCAGGGAAAGCAAGAGCATTTTATAATTCATTTATAATGAAATAATGAAGTTGTGTGCAAAGGTTTTTTTTCCATGTAGGACATGTAACTTTCAAGTCATGTTTTTTCTAAACTTTTTCTCCCTTCTTAAGGAGACAAGTACATTTTCTCTTCCTTTCCACTTACCTCTCTCCATAATAACGATTTAAAACACTTCTCGTAACAACAATTTAAAACAGTCCTCTGGATTGAGAAGCCAAGGTGTTGGGTGCACACAATGAGCTGGCAGCATTAATTCTCCTTACACTGCTCCAGAATCTCAAGATTTCACCACATTATGTGTTTATTCGAGATTTCCCTCCCGCAGGACTGGACCAACGTGCGTGGCCGGCAGGACGCTTGACAGGCTCCTTTCCCTCTCCTGCACCCACTCCCGCTTTCTCTTCACGTTCCTCATCCAATCTGCTGCCTTTCAGGGATCGACGGAAGGCCGGGGGGAATCCCAGCCCTTGTCCCGGCGGAGGGCCGGGATCACCGGGGGACACCGGCAGGTGTCGCTGCCCGCCCGCGGCCCGGCCAAAGCGGGACCGGAGCCTCCCCGGGGCCAGCCTGGACCATTCCCTGCCTCGGGTGCTCCTGCGTGTGAAGAGCCCTCAAAACCTCTTTAATTGATGAAAAGGGATGGGTACTCGTTTAAAAACACCAACTTGACCTGTATCACTTTAGCGTCCTTTGTGCAAAGCCCGCCAGAGCGAGGTTTAGATTCACCTGCTTCACGGACGGGTTTGAGGAATGTCAATTATTGTGTGATTTGGAACGTAGGGAAAGGCGATCTTGCGGCACCTACCCCGACCCAGTCTGTGAAAGGGTTAAAATCAATGCTTGTATGTAGCTTGGGAAATTAGGGTCGGCCTTTCTGCATGAAGGTCAGGTTTTCAAGGACCCTTCTGAGGAAATAACAAAATACAATTTGTCTGCACCTCTACTTTGCACAGATATTCCCTGAAGGCAGTTCTGAAAGGCAGTTCTCCGATATTTAGGTTCTTTCCGTTTTTAATATCTGCCCTGGTTTGAAAGTTCCCTTCCTGCTCCTTTTTCCGCTTCTCCAGTCCCAACTCATGCTGCACTTTCCACTTTACAACCTGGTCAAGCACGGTCCCTGCAGCGTCCTAAGGACAAGGGCTGCGGCAGCTGCTGGGGCTCCCCCAAGCTGGGGTGAGGGAATTACAGCTGCCGAGGATCCCTCAGCTCCTCCCGCACTGAGCCCTTTCACCCACCCCTGTCACTGAGCTCCTGCTTTCTTTGCTGTGGGGGGACACACACAGACATCAGCTGTCTCCAGCAGAGCTGATGGCAAAGGCTTTTACCTACCACCCCCTGGCCCTCCCCCGACTTCTGATGAAGTCATCAAGCTACTGATTGCATAACTGATACACAGGACTATCTTGTGTTATACTGGGAGACGGGCCAACCGCTTCCATTTATAGACAAAAGCAATGCCACGCTGCCAAATAATGGAGCCTTTGCTGCAGCCAGTACCAGGGAAAAAAAAAAAAAAGGAGGGGGAGAAAACCTGGGAGCCAAAGGGCATGCTGTGAAGTGACATCCCTCAGAGCCTCCTCTTCGAGCCTCAGTGCACAGCTGCCTTTGGGGCTGCAGCCCAAGTCCTCTTTGAATTGCCTTCAAAAAAAATCTCCTTACAGAACTACTGTCCTGGCTCTTAATGCACGCACGGGTACAGTTGAGGGACACACTCACTCCACAGTAAAAGCACTCCATTCTTTGCTGGATTATGTTATAAATTAATTCCAGAGTTTAAAAAGGAAGAAAGCTTTGAAAGGAGCCCCACCAGCTGACGTGAGCCCCACGCGCTGTGCAGCAGCTGAAGGAAATACAAGGATTATCACAAAGGTGTTACTTCCAGTGCTGTGTGTTTAGTCATTTTGGGGTACACGAGTTTACCTACTCATCACGAAAACTTCATGTTTCTGGTTTTAATAACAGGTTTAAAGCCAGGCCTTCTTCATCTAGATCACCCTCCCACATGGAATATTTCTTCTCCTTTTCTTTTCTTTTTTTTTGGCAAAAGCTCTTCCTAACCGATGATGAAAAGCCCTGCTGACATCACTGGGAGCAGCCCTGGGTTGTGTGTCCTGAAAATAAGAGCATAGCCCAGGCAAAAGGTCTTTGCAGGCAGGAAAATGCTCCCTAGCACCTGGGAGCAGGGCTCTTTCCCAAGAGCTTTATCTCTGCAGCCTGGCACTGCTGCTGTTAACGTCCAAGCGTATGGAGATGAAACCTGGTGGTCGACTGTGTGGCAGGGAACTGGTGATCTACACGGCTGCCTCTTACAAGCCATGGCTGAGTTGCAGCCTCACCACTGGAGCTGAGCACTGAGGCAAGCAACTCAGGCTAAGTGCAGCACTCATACAGTTACAGAGCTTCAAAACCAAACTAATCCAAGCTTCACTGACAACGCTCTTTGCTCCTGCTCTGCCTGCCAGCTCCCTCATCCTCCTACTGCACCTCGAGCCTTCCCCGGCCCCTAGACTTCCTGCTCCTCCTCGTTACCTGCCGTTCTTTTCTCTTTCCTACACCCTCTGTCCAGCCTCTGCATTTTCCTTTCTCCATCAACTGGCACTGCTGCCTCTTCCTTCCCTCTCCAGACGCCCCCACCAGTACCTTGGCTATCCAGCCTCTGGCTGCACATCACCCCTGCCGCTGCCTGTGCTGGTCTCCAGCGGCTCATTCCCACAGCCTGACTCACCCTGTGATTTGCGGGGACCCGCAGCAGTGAGGGGACAGCCCAGCTGCTTCCCTCAGGGCCCTGTCCTTGTGTGCACATGGGTACACGGGTGCCCTGTGGGGGCACAGGCAGAGAGCGACAAGATGTCCTGGAACGGGAAACACAAGGCTGTATTCTCAGCCTGTTACATCTGGGAAGATGGTAAAGTGTGACTTCTGATTTTTCACTCTGGCTCTTTTTAACACCACCCAAAGCCACTGTGTGCTACTTGCAGGCTGCAAACAGCTCCCTGCTGATAACAGAGTTACAGGCGCTCCAGTCGGGAGCAGCGATGCCGCAGCTCCGCTGCCAGGTCCCCACCGCGGGGCAAGCGAGAGGCTGGTTACACGAGGGGGGGATGGCGCCAAGCCCCCTCGGCTGTGCCACAGAGCGACTTCAAATACACGGGCTGGCCCTGGCTAAGCCTCTTGGGAGCCCTCCTGCCCCTGCAGCCTCAGCTGCCCACTTTTAAGGCAGCCCAGGGACAGAATCAAGTTCTTGGCCCCTGGGAGCAAAATCGGGTATTGAAAGAGCCAGGGTGCTGTTCACGGAGCCAAAAAGGAGCCACAGTTTCCAAATGGTCAGCGTAACACTTCTGGCTTGTATAGCTGTATAGCACTAGGAAGATGAACTTTTGTAGGGACCTGGCTGCTTACTTAACGGCCGCATGGGAGTTGCCCCTCTGGATAATCCAATCCTTAGTTAAGCAACAGGAGAATAAATCCTGTGTCCTCCCAGTGTATTTCCAGGGCCCTACAGGAGTGACAGGATGCTCCGCAGGAGTTCAGAGTGATAAGTGTGCATGTATGTGTACGGTTATGCACAGTAAACACAAGTGACTTTAAAAAGAGAACAAAGGGGAGTGGAAAAGATCTTTTCCTCTTTGTCTCAAATCTTACATGCCTCTTCCTTACCACGCAGCAATTTATTCCTTCCACATGTCATTCAATCTCCCAGCTACAGCTAAAAGCAATCACACAATTTTCTTCCAGAACAAGCAGAGCAACCACCAGCTGATGCTCTGAGAGCTGGGCAGCTGGGTGCGGGTAAGCACACTCAGGGACAGCCAAGCCTACTCATTGGCCCTCTGTGCCTCATGGTTGGAGTCCTTGGATCTGGAGGAGGCAGCTCTGCTCCTGCTGAAGGCCAGGGGGGCAAAGTGGCGCCCTAGGGAAAAGGGGGCTGTTCCAGGCAACTACTGGCAGAAATTTCACATCTGGGAACAAAGTATTTCCCAAAATGCTGAGGGAAACACAGACTGGAAAGCAAGGTCTAAATGTGCAGAACAGACAAACAGACATAATTCCCTGTGCCATTCTGTGGTGTGTGAGTGAATGGGATCCTCAAATATACAAGGAGCAGAAGAGCAAATAGAAGCCAGGAAGGTGGTTTATCCTGCATCCTGCATTAGAAGAATGATACTAGAAAAATGTATACAATCAGGCATCTACATTTTAGAGTCAGAGCAGAAAAGAACACACAAATATGATTTGAGGCAGAAAGTGTCTGCCAGAGAGCGACTTAAAGAGCTCAATCCATTTAGCCTACCACAAAGAGAACTGAAAGATGCTTTGACCATGGTGTATAAAAATACCTTCACGAGGGAAGAAATCCCTTAAAGAGCTCTTTTATCCAGTGAGGAAGGCAAAACCAGATAGAAGGGCTGGAAGCTGAAAAGAGATTCAAATCAGAAAGAAGAATTGCATTTTTACACTATGACTCCATTACACATCAGAAATGGCAGATGTCCACATTTTGATGTCTTCAAGGACGACAGCCTTTCTGGATAAAGACAACACAGCGGTGCGAGGGAATGGCCTGTGACATACCAGATAGAACAGCACTGTCTGCCCTCACCTCTGCACAGCTCTGAGCTGCGGCAGAGGCCACTCTCCTGCTTGCACCACACTGCTGCCAGGCAGACAAGCACTGGTTCTGCTCTTAGGCACTGCGTGTGTGTCTGTGTGTGTATGTCTGTATGCTAAGAATGGAGGGTCTCCGAGCTATTAATGGGATCAAAAATATGACTCCATTT